CCTGGCCTACATAGCAAGCTCCAAACTAGTCAAGGATATATAGTGAGACCTTGTTTGAAAACAACAAAAAAGTGGGGAGGGGAGAAGGTCCTTGGGAGATGGCTCAATCTTATAAAGTGCCTGTCACACAAGCATGAGGAACTGCATTCAGGTCTCTAGGACCCATGTAAAAACCTGATCTGTAACCCAGAACTGCACTGGGGAACGAGAGACTATGTGAATCCTTGAAGCTCCTTGGCCAACCGGCCTAGCCCATTGATGAGCTCCAGACTTAGTAAGAGACATCGGCTCACCAGATAAAGGAGAAAGGTGATGGAGGGAAGACACTTGACTTGGATGTGGGCCTCCCCACAAGCATGTGAACCTGCGGACACACACACACACACACACACACACACACACACACACACACACACACTACAGGAATACAGCTCACATTACACAAAATGAAATAGAAGAGAAGGGAGGGGAAGGGAGGAAATACTGGTCTGTGTGTGCCTCTTTCTGGTGCAGTTCAACAGACGCTTATTGATTACCGGGTACCTGAGAAGTGCCTCTGGCTTATTGTCTATCTGGGAAGAAGGAACCAGTTTTGCCTCCTGGGCTCGTTAAGAATTATGACTAGCTTATTGTTTCGTGGGGGATATTGTATCCAAGCCAATGAATAGTTAATTTAATGTCCAACAAGTAGGGTTTTCTACACTGGAAAGTTAATTCCCAGGTCATCATGCATTATGCATAGATTGCTTTGGCCTAATTCTTTGGCCCTGAAGCCCATTCCAAGAAGATCAGGTAAGACAAGGGAGTGTGAGAGACAGGAATGGAGATCATCGACCCTGTTTAGAGCTTCTCTCTTGAGCTGCAGGCATGTAGAGCCCCTAGGCCAAAGGAGGTCAGCTCTCAGTTTGGCTTTCCAGCAGGCTGACTATGCTACAGTCTGTCACCCACTGCTCTGAGCTCAGACATAATCTGTCCCTCTTGCCTCCTGCAAGACAGGGCATCTCAGGTTTTCAAGATTGTATATCACTTGAGTTGGTTCAGGTATTTTGGAAAACAGTTAAACATTTCTTAGAAAGTTAAGTATGAGTTGGCACACAACCCAGCCATCCCATCTCTAGGTATTTAACTAACATCTGTCCACACAAAGTCTGGTGCCTGATGTGTTTCTGGCAGCCTTACTATAATAACCCCAAACAAAAACAACCGAGGAGAACTCATAGTTGCATGGATTAACTTGCAGTGATACATCCAAGGAATGGCGTCTACTCCCTCACAAGAGCAACTGAGCTCCTGAAATAGATACAAGCACGGCTGAATCTCAAAACTATGGCACTAAGTGAAAAGCTCCAACAGAAAATTCCGAGCCATTCCATGAAATTTAGGAAAAGGTGAAACTATGATGACGGAGGGCAGGCAGATGTTGTGGATTGAGACTGTAAAGTATGGTGAAGGCAGGAGGATCAGGGTTCAAGGTCATCCTTGGCTGCAGAGCAAGTCTGAGATTTTTGACAAAACAACATAAATAAATAATACTGGCTGCAGTTGGCATTGGAAAGGACTAAGGAACTTGGCTCCAGGGAAAGTCTATCTCTGCTCTGAATAACCCATAAGGGCTCCTCTGCAGTCTTAGATTGCTAGACACAGAAACTTACGCTCTGAGAACTGAGGCCATTTGCTCTTCTGGTGTACAGGAATCATGTCCCTAGAAGGTCACAGCAAGATCCTGAAGATGCAAGTCCCTCAGTGCGGAATCATGTCGCTAGACAGTCACAGCAAGATCCTGAAGATGCAAGTCCCTCAGTGCCCGGGGTTGGCACTCACTTCACCTCCACAGCATACTTCCACGGCATTTAAGAGCTAAAGGGGATAGTGTTCTTCAAGGGGGCCGATGAGATGGGAAAGAACAGGCCTGTGAGTCCCTGGTTTATCTTGGAAAGCCTGCCCTGGCAGCTTGCACTCCTCCCCTTGGGGGCATCTGCTCCTTCAGGCAGAATGTCAGTTTGTTGGTATTTAAGTAATTGGAGGATTAAATGGGTCACAGGCTCCTCACTCTATCCAGCCTCATCCTCTGATGGCTGGAAGCCCACCCAAAGGTTATTAAATTCATGATCACATCTGGGTATTTCAGCCCCCTCCCTTTGCAGCCCAGCAGCATGGCGAAGCCACAGAGAGGGAGAGAGATCGGGGTCAGAGTAGGAAGGCTACACTGGCATCAATCTTCAGATCAGATTCCTGGAAATCAAGCTGAGGACTCAGTTTTGGTGTTGCCGTTGGCTGACCTTGAACATGTTACAGCTCAGGATGTTGGCTTAATTTGCTCCCAAATCAGGACATCACCTGCTCTGGTTATAACATAGGCAAGATAAAAGAGATTTAAAAAAATCACTGGAGGGAGGGATGGGGATGGAGTTGCCTAGCTTCAGAGATTCTTGAAACTGAGCAAAGTAAGTATCATTCAGCCAGTGGAGACAAGAACACCAAAAGTTTAAGGTCATCCTTAGCTATATAGTAAGTTCGAGACTACCCTGATTTACATAAGACCCTCTTTAAAAAAAAGGATAGTAAGGAAATAAAATAAAGAAAAAATAAAATAATGCATTGAAACAAATGTACCATCCATTAGAGTTGGCATAGCAACAACTTAGGTGTGGCCTGTGGGATGAGGGAGAAATGACCTCAAGACAGACAGCTCCAGCCTCCCATAGTCGAGCAGTCCATGCAGGTCTGACCAAAGCAAGGAAGAATAATCTCAATAAAACTCTTCCAGAAAAATACAAAAGAGGGATTCCCCCCCCCATGCCATAGAAGACACCCTCAGAGTAGAGAAACATTGATAAAAATAACCAGCCCAGAGGCTGGGCAGACAACTCAGTCAGTAAGGCGGTGCTACGGGAGCATGAGGACCTGGGTTCGGACCACCAGCCTCCACTTGAAAAGCCAGGTGTATGGGGCACGTTTGTTACCTACTTCTGGAAAAGAGACAGGTAGACACCCGATGCTCATTGCCAGCCAGTCTAGCCAAACGGATAAGCTCCAGGCTCAGTGAGATAACCTGTCTCCAAAAATAAAAGACAGAAAAACCTAGAGACCAATAAAGACCTCTGGCCTCCACATGTACCTGCCTGTACATCTGTACATGTGCACATTCTCCAAGATCACACACACACATCCACTCACTCCAATAAAACCAGCCCAACTGTGTCAGATGGTCTGCAAGGAGCTCTTTCTTTACCTGCTATACCTAATGCTGCAGATGAAATAGCTTTTTCCTTGTTACAGATGAGTAAACTGAGGCTGGGAGGGGTTGAGCAATTTATTCCAGCCACAGCTAGACTGATACTCAAGCAGTATACCCTGCAAGTGCTTCTTACGTTTGGCGTTTGTTCTTTTCTCATAGGGCAGCTGTCCCTATGCCATCTATGTTTCTGCAAATGACAAGTCCACCCGCCAGGCTCCAGCATGTTGCCTGAGCTTCAGATCCATGGGTCCTACAGCATCCTGACCCAACCCATGTATCCAAAGATGACACCTCATCTACTTCCGAAGGAAGATTGCCCCACCCACACAGAACCTGGTGGCATCACTCCTCTGTCCCCTTACAGGCATGCATCCAGTCAGAGTGGACACCTCCCACACCATTACTCATGTCCTACCTCCCTTTGCCTACTATGACTGTCACAGTCCAAAACCCTCATTAGAACTTGGTACCCTACAGGCTGCACCAAAATTCATCATCTGCAATTCTGACCTTCTCACCCACCTGGACTCTGTGGATGAGCAATGTCTAAAATGCAGACACATACCAGTCTCCTGCCAGCACCTTCAGCTGCTTCCTGTGGTACTCAGGGGTCCAGTCTAAACCCGTCCCTTCCCTATGTCAGCCTCTGTCACTCTTTTCCCTGCCCAGTGTGGCTCCCACAGAACTTGCCGTTCCTCCAGATACCAACCAGCCTCTGGACGGGGGTGGGGTGGAGGTATGAGGATAGGTGGGTGGGGTGGGTGGGGCATTCTGGCTAGTTCCTCTGCCTGGAGCTCTTTCCCACTTCCAGTTCCCACTTCCCTGTCAGCTCAGAAGTTCAAAGCCATAGCTAAGATACTCTTCCTGTGAGGTCTGTTTGGCCTCACTGCCTCCATGTCTACATAACTCTTAGTACTTCCTCCATCATCATCACTGACTATACATGCAGGAGCACTTCTGAACGGGGCTCATGGGTTCCTCCTTTCACAGGACCTGCAACTAGGTTGTTAACACTTTTTTGTTTGTTTTTCGTTTTTTTTTTTTTTTTTTCGAGACAGGGTTTCTCTGTATTGTTTTGGAGGCTGTCCTGGAACTCACTTTGTAGACCAGGCTGGCCTCGAACTCACAGAGATCCGCCTGCCTCTGCCTCCCAAGTGCTGGGATTAATGTTTGTTTGTTTTTCAAGACACAGTTTCTCTGTGGCTTTGGAGGCTGTCCTGGAACTAGCTCTTGTAGACCAGGCTGGTCTCGAACTCACAGAGATCCCCCTGCCTCTGCCTCCCGAGTGCTGGGATTAAAGGCGAGCGCCACAACCGCCCGGCTGTTAGAGGGAGAAGTGTGGGTCTTTCCCCAAGCCAAAGTGACAAAGTCAGAACTGGAATCCGGACCATCTTCTGCACCCCAATTAAAACTGCTTTTGGGGATCCTACCCTCTACACCCATCAAAACACATAGTTGATAGTTTATTGAACAGTCTTTAATGCGAGGAAGAGGGTTCTCAGCACAGCTTACTATCCGTGGGTCCCCAGTTAAACACACACACACACACACACACACACACACACACACACACACACACACACACACACACACACACACACACACACACACACACACACACACACACACACACACACCACGCCCCGCCCCGCCCCGCCCCGCCCCGCCCCGCCCTATCCTCTTCTCCCTTCCCTACCTAAGTCCCTCCCCATCCTCCACCCTTTCTACTCCGCCCCACCCCTTGATCTTTCCTCCTTCTCCAGCTCCTCCCTCCACCCCGCGCAATCCTCTCTCCTCCGGGCAGGCGATGCCGAGCGGGGCGGCCATGGAGGCGGCGGCGCGGAGGCGGCAGCTCCCGGGAGCGGCGAGCGGTCCCGGCGCCACGTTCGTGCAGGCCAGGTGCGCGCGGAGCGGGAACGGGAAGGCCGCGCGGGGCCCCAGAGTTTGAGAAACCTAGCCAGGGTCGGGGGAACGCAGGAGCCGGCTGCTCGGAGGTCGGGCCAGCTCTGCTGAGTCCCTGCACCACTTCCAAGTTTGCGGAAGCCTCCTGCTCTGGGCAGGACTGTGACTGCTCTGACTCTGGAGGCTCGGGGGCCCAGGAAAGCGAGCCGGTAACCAGGGACAGCGGAAAGTGGCAGGCTCACATTCTGAATGAGGGGGTGATGTTTGGGGTTTATCATGCTGGGCGGGGCAGAGCCAGAGGCACAAAACCCGCCCTTTGATATTTCAAAACCTCCAGTCTGCTTCCATCCCCTTCATTGGACGTAAGCACTCCCCGCGTGTCACTCGTGTTGATGAAGCGCTGTACCAGGTGGGAAACAAGGAAGTCGGCGCCCACGCAGGTGACAGCTAATCCTGGAGGGCTTTCTGGACGAGTTGAGCAGTCTGCAGAGGACACTTAAGACTTGTTTGGCCAGGCATGGTGGCTGTCTTTAATCCCAGCACTCAGGAGGTAGAGGCAGGTTTCTGGAGGTGGGGGTAATTTAGTCGGTAGTGTCTGCATAGCACACCGGAAGCCCTGGGTTCAATGCCCAGCACCGCAGAAACTGGACACGGTAACCAGTGGAAGACTGTGAGCAAAGACAAGGAGTGTACTGGTGCTGGACAAGCCGCGGCTGTAAGAGACGGGCTGGACCAACTTCGAAGCCCCAGAGTTAGACCAGAAGGCCCTAGAGTGGGGAGTTTAAGGAGGGAGGTGCTCTGGATGGGAACAGTCTTGAAAAGGGGGCTGCTCACCCCTTGAGCAGTAGGCCCCTTACTCTCCTCATCCTAAATGACCTGCTAAAAATGTGTACCCATGTCCCAAAGGTACCAAAGCGCCATGGAAGAGTTTTGAGCACTAGTGTGTTCCACGTGAATTTTAGGAAGTTCCTGGTCTGATTTGGGATGTGGGAGAAGTTTGGGAGGCTGGGCTGAGGTTAGTCCTTGCATTGTTCCTGAAGTATGAGTGGACTATTTGCCTTTTGGCTTGGAAGCCAATTTTCTGAGCATGTGAAGTCCTGTGCCTGGTAATATTTCTTTGTACCTGGTGGTCATCCTGTAAGATTTTTGTAGCCATCTTAGATTGCATATCTGCTCTATCATGTTTGCGCTGGGACAGATTTGCCTGTAGGCACATGATTGAGCAACATGTAAATTGACGGTCCATTTACTTCTCTGAGTGTTACTGATAAGGAAATAGGTCTAGAGCAGGCTAAGGAACCTGATCATACTGAGGCTCAGACTGTTTTACTGACTGAAACAGTCTTAAGATTCAGGTGGCATTCAGTAAGCACCTCTAGTAAGTATGACCTATGCTGCCCACAGCTCTCAGGTCAAAATTAATCTTCCACATTTAGGCTGTCACAGCTATTTCCTACATGTTATCTGTGGATTACTTCTAAACATTGGAAGTCAGTATACAGTGTTTATAATATTTAAGCTGTTTTTTTGTTTTGAGACAGTTTTTATTATGTCGTAGCCCTTGCTGTCTTGGAACTCAGAGATCCGCCTACCTCTGCCTCCTGAGTGCTGGATAAAAGGCATGCGCCACCACACGTGGCTCTTGGTTAGTTTTCCTTTTCTCCTTGCCATTGTTTGTCGGCGTTTCATTTTTCATTAAAATGCCTCAGTCTCATCCTGTCCCTTATGTCACCGTCCTCATCGTATTCCCCATTCACAGTTCTGTGTACTTCTCCAGACAAGTTTTCTTTCCCGCTGCCCAGGGTTGCAGATGCTGCTGTGTGATACAGCTTCCCAGCTGTCTGGTGTCAGTTTCCCATGTGGTAGACTCAGGAAGCTGTGAGGGAGCGGGAGCAAGGGCTGGGCTTGCGTCAGGTTACCTGGCATTGTGCTTTCTCCACTGTCCTCCGTTCTGACCATCATTGCTCCTGATGGAACCTAGGGCCAGCATGGCCTGGGGAGCTCAGCCTGGGAAGCCTGGAATCAGGAATGTGGGACAAGCTTGAGGTCACTCTTCCTCAGGACAGGAGCTTGGTGTTGAGGGGACAGTGGCTGCTTTGCGAAGGTTGTCTGCTGCTGTCCATCATCAGGATTGATAGTTTCATTCATCTTTCATGTTTTTGCTATGTTTTATTTCCCCAGCATTTTATAATGGAAGTTTGACAGTTACTTCACCTGTGGGTCAGTTTCTTCCTGAGCCACAGGGTAGTTAGGACAACTGAAATCCTCTGTCCTCTTGACTAAACTCCTGGCTTCTTTTCCCCAGATAACATGTACTTCCCCTTCAAGTACCTAGACCTCTTTGTCTTTCTCTTGGGTTGATGTCAAAGGGGGACGGGTGAAGGCTGACTCTAGTCTTGTTCCTTGCCAGGCATGGCTCCATGAAGGCTGAGGAGACAGAGCGCACAGCTCCCTTCCACTTTGACCTCTGGTTCTACTTCACACTGCAGAACTGGGTCCTGGACTTCGGCCGCCCCATTGCCATGGTAAGTGTGAGGCTGAGTCCTGTGAGCATTGAGGGGACTTAATGTTTGCTGAGTGACCTCACAGACATCACGTCTTAGGGAGAACCCAGAGGCTTTTGCATTCTGCAGCTGTGTGTCTGATCAGTCATGCAAGTGAGAGAGCCTGGTTGGGTCCTATAGTCATCCCATGAGGTAGAGCATAGCTGCTGTCCTCCCTCATTGTCTTGGGACAGTACTGCCATCTGGAGGTGAAGCCCATCAGCTGAATTTGCATATTGTAACTGACCAAAAATAAAGTCACCTCCAAGTAGTGAGAGTAACATGTAGAAATCCCCAAACAGTGTTAGACTTCCCTGAGGGCTGGGGCATACCCTTCCACTCCTTCCTCTGTTTATGTAAACTTACATAGCAATTCCTTTTTCTTTTCCTAAGCAAACGGAGATTTTGTTTTATATGTTATATTCTGCATCTTGATTGTTTTACACTAGACAAGATTTCTATAGCAGTGATTCTCAGCCTGTGGGTTGCAACTCCTTTGGCAAACGTCTACCTCCAAAAATATTTACATTATTTTATAATTCATAATAGCAAAATTACAGTTATGAAATAGCAGCAAAAATAATTTTATGGTTGGGGCTCAGCACAACATGAGGAACTGTATCAAAGGGTCAAAACATAAGGAAGTTTGATTACCCAGGCTCGATAGCAATATATGCAAATTGTTGTTTCTATTACTTAACCTTCCAGAGTAAACAAGAATTATAATGGCCTGTCTGAGCTACGTGGTCACAAGACAAAACAAACCTCACTGCTAAACTCTTCCAGCAAAGTGGCAGCTTATAAAATTAGCATAGCCTTCCTCCATGCCATATACAAACAGACTGAGAAAGAAATCAGGGAAACAGCCCCATTCACAGGGGCCTGAAAACTGAAACAAAAGACATTGACGTGAAAGACCTGCACAGTGGAAAGTTGAGCAGGTGGTTTGCTCTCCCCATTCATGGAATAAAAATCATGTAAATATGATAGCATGCTAAAGGAAAAAGAACCTTTTTCAAACTAGGAAAGATTTTTAGATTGTAAATGTGTTTTGTCCTAAGATAAAAGATTAAATAAAATAATTTGGTGGTGGTGGCACATGCCTTTCTCTGTGAGTTCGAGGCCAGCCTGGTCTACAGAGCAGGTTCCAGGACAGGCTCCAAAGCTACAGAGAAACCGTGTCTCAAAAAAAGCAGATAGATAAATAAAAAACAAACAAACAAATACATAAAATATAAAATAGTAAACAAAATACTATTATGAAGAATACTATCATGTAGTAGTCCTAAGACACTCCTTGGATTTCTCTGTATCAAACATGACTAGGAACAGGCCATTTACTGTCTACGGGACTCAGTTTCTCTCTCTGGGAGTCTCTTTGACCTAGGGCTTCCAAGAGAACACAGAAGAGCTCAGAGTCTGTGAGGGGGGCTGGTGTCCAGGGGCCCCAGGCCTTCCTGTGAACGCATGCCCTCTTTCCCAGCTGGTGTTCCCGCTCCAGTGGTTTCCTCTCAACAAGCCAAGCGTTGGGGACTACTTCCACATGGCCTACAATGTCATCACACCCTTCCTTCTGCTCAAGGTACAGATGCACTATCTCCCTCCCATCCTCTCTGCGCACTCTCCCTCCCTCCCTCCCTCCCTCCCTCCCTCCCTCCCTCCCTCTCTCCCTCTCTCTCTCTCTCTCTCTCTCTCTCTCTCTCACACACACACACACACACACACACATACACACACTCTCTCTCTCTCTTCATGAGGTGATGAGCTGGTTTGTTGGGTCAGGGTGCTTGCTGCTAAGTCTGACAACCTGCATTTCATCCCCACATCACAAGAAATGACTTCTACAAATTGCCCTCTGACCTTTACATTTATACCTACACAAATACATTCACAATAAATAAACAGATAAATGTTTCTTTAAAAATGAAAACCATTTCAAATCTCTAAAAGTTGGAGAAGCATCACCTCAGAAGAGTTTCTGTGTTTTAGAACACCCACCCCCATTTTGGACTCCCTGACATCTCTCTGTTTGCTGGGGTCCTCCCACTCAAAAATCAGATCCCTGCGGCATGCCGGCCCACCCAAGGCATACAGGGGACACCCTGGGGTAGAGGAAGGGTCTGGCCTGGTCAGGAGTCCTCCCTTGAAGGTCTGGTCACGTCTAACGCTGCCCCCATCCCCTACCTCATCTGATCTTCCTGGAGAGGAAGGGTGTCTTCAGCAGACCCTGCTGGATTTACACCGTGCCAGCGGGACTTTGTATCCCACTTTTCTGAGGGAAGGGGGCAGAGATTTTCACATATTATAATGGAGTCAGGGGCATGCTGTGGACCTCATTCTGAACCTCAGCTCATCGAGAGGTCCCCTCGCACACTGCCGAGGTCTATAATCTACGTCAGTATCATCACTTTCATCATGGGAGCCAGCATCCACCTGGTGGGCGACTCCGTCAACCACCGCCTGCTCTTCAGTGGGTACCAGCACCACCTGTCCGTCAGAGAGAACCCCATCATCAAGAATCTCAAGCCAGAGACGCTGGTGAGGCCGCCTCCCCTCCCCTGACTCACTCTAGATCAAAGATGCTCCCCTGCCAGTCATTATGTCCCATGTAGCCCAGGCTAACCACAGGATGACCTCAAACTCTTTATCCTCCTGCCTCTGCTTCTGGAGTGCTGGGATTACAAGCATGCAGCTAAGTGAGGGCACTGTTGCCACCTGAATTAGTTAGTATGCTCCTAGATTGTAAAGGGACACAGTATCTGTCTGGATGTGGGGTGCATACAAGCCAAAAAAAAAGTAAGAAAGAAAAAAAGGGAAAGAAATAGGTGGTACAGTGGCCCCTGCGGTACCCTAGGGAGGGAATGGTATGTGTGGGAGGTGTGGGAAGAGGCAGGAGTGGGCAGCGGTGTTGCTTCAGGTTCCAGTCCCCCTCACTCTGCCTCCCCTGTGCCTTCTCAGATCGACTCCTTTGAGCTGCTGTACTACTATGACGAGTACCTGGGCCACTCCATGTGGTGAGTGAGGGGCTGGCTGGGCCATGTTTCATCCAGGGCCCAGGCACCAGGATATTGGACACGGCTCCCTGGACCCCAGCCTCTGTATTGAGTGGAGCATCTAGAATAGAATTATCTTCTCAGCGAAGGTACTATGAGTGGGACCCCTGGTCAGCATGCCCGGAGACCCAGCTACTTTTGGTTGGCCCTAAGGGGGCCTCCTAGTGCCTCCTCCCTACATGAAGTTCCCACAGTAGCCACTAGAGGGCAGCAAGCAGGTGCTTGTCCACCATAGCCACTACTGAGCCTGGGGTTGGGGAGGAAAGACTGTGGCCTGATAAACAAACACACTAGAATCTAGTGACTAGATGGTTGCCAGTGGAATGCAGGAGACAGATGGAGATGTAGGAAGTTGAGATGAGCCAGTAGGGCCAGGTTTGGGTGGCACAATTTGTGTTCCCCATTTTAGAACTCCCAGGGGAATATCAATATCACCATCATCATCATCACCACCACCACAACTCTCAGGAAAATCTCAGAAATGTGGGGTCAGAATCAGAGATTCAGAGCTGGAATAAGGAAGTTTCCTCTGCCATCCCTCATTCTACACTGCAAAAACTAAAGTGAGAGAGAGGAGATAAGAAAAATTGTCAGCCAGGCAGTGGTGGCGCACAACTTTAATCCCAGCACTCGGGAGGCAGATGCAGGCAGATCTCTGTGAGTTTGAGACCAGCCTGGTCTACAGAGCTAGTTTCAGGACAGCCTCCAAAGCCACAGAGAAACACTGTCTCTAATCCCTGCCCCCATAACAAGCAAACCAAAAAAGAACAGTTGTCATCTGGGAAGTGATGGGCTAGCCCTGCTCCTGGTACCTCATCTGGACTGTGGCACTTCCTTCAACACATGCCCCACGCTGGTGTCTGTGGGGCAGTCTGAGGTGGCAGAGGTGACCCTTCTGGTTTGCAAGGCGCTAGGAGACCTCTGCACAGGCCTCTTGCCAGGCCTTCCTGACTCTGCCAGGTGACTCTTCCCACTGGAAGTCAGGAAGGGAGGAGAGAGGAGGGACACACCTGGGAATTCAGGAGAGGTTGGGGAGTGCACTGAGTATTGGAGGGGGGTGTCACATGATAGAAAAGGTTTTGTGTAGGAGAGCATGAGTGTGTGTGTGTGTGTGTGTGTGTGTGTGTGTGTGTGTGTGTGTGTGTGTGTGTACTGGAAGGAGAGGGAGCCCCTGTGTAGGGAGGAGAGAAGCCATACTCTTGGATGAGGTGGGGATTGTTGGCTGACTATGAATGATGGGTTCCACATCACTCCTTGGGACCTCCCAGAACTATGTTCTCTCTGTCCTCAGCCCTGCTGGCTATTCCAATTTCCAGGCTAGTGTGGTAGTAGACCTGCTGGTGTATAAGGCACATGGATGAGACAGAGCCCCACATCATCTCATCTCCATGTGGAATGAAGGACAGGGTGGGTACCAGGTCCAGAGAGGGAAGCCAGACAAGTTGTGGTTGCCATGGCACTCACACCCTTCACCTTAGTCTTTAACCCAAGAAGCCCAGGGCCCTCACCTTTTAGTTTCTGTTCCTCCCATCTGAACTCCCTGGGTAGGAAAGGCTGAATATAGAGGCATGTGCATGACCCATGCCAAGGATTTTATAAACCCTGAGGTGACACCCTATGTGACAATGCAAGGGTGACACAGATGTGACAAAGATGACACCCCCAGTCAGCCTTTTACAGCTGTTGCCTCGGTTGCAGGTACATCCCCTTCTTCCTCATCCTCTTCATGTACTTCAGTGGCTGTTTTACGACCTCCAAGGCTGAGAGCCACATGCCAGGGCCTGCCCTGCTCCTGGTGGTGCCCAGTGGTCTGTACTACTGGTAAGTGGACACTGACATTTAGGGTGGGACAAAGGGCACTGAATGAACCACCACAGTAAAAGTCACACATAAGCAGTGCTGGTGTGATGACCCATCTCTGTAATCCTAGCCCTTGGGAGGTGGAGGCAGGAGGATCAGGAGTTCAAGGTTAGCAATGGCTACACAATAAATTTGAGGCTACGTTGAGCTGCATGGGCCCTGTCTTAAAAAGAGAGAGGAAAAAAAGTCACACTTGACACCAGCCCTGCAGTGTGATCTCATGTAAGACTTGCCATCCCAGGCCTCTGCTTCCTCCTGGGTTGAGGGAGGGCTGTGCCTTGTGGCAGTTTCTCTGCATCAGAGCCACCTTGAGGCCAGGGGTCTCTCTAGCTTCATGCTTTGAGAATCCTCCTGAGCCTCAGTTTACCCCTCTGAAATGGAAGTTATATCTGCCTGTCCCCCTCTTAGGGGATGTTGGGATCCAGTGGGGAGAGAAAAGCCCAGTGGTGACAAGATGACAAGGGCAGACCAGAGGGACATTCTCAGCCTAGCTTTGCCTCTCCTGTACCTGTGTGCTCCTGAGGTCTCTTTCCCCAGTCTAGACTCCCCTCTCAGACCTCAGCCAGACTCTAAGAGTTTTGACCTGGGCATGTTCATCGCATGGTCTTACCCTGACATGTCCGTGCAAAGGTGGCAGACTGAAGCACACCATTCACTGAACAATATGCTTTTCCAAGTAAGAGATGCACACAGCCCTTGTAAGACACCTTGAGAGGTGGGGCTGCTTATGTTTCCCTCATAAGGGAGAAAACAGCCTTAAAATTGTCATTCAAAGTTGTCACATGACATCCCCAAGGTCCCAGGCCAGTAGGTTGCAGAGCTGGAGTTCTTTAAGTGAATGGGTAGGCATCAAGACTTCCTAGAGGCAGGGACATAGGTAACACTGCAGAACACTCCAAGGGCTTCTGGGTGCTCTGTACTCCAGGGTGCAGCATGTCTAGGAGATGACAGTGGCTCAGCCTTCAAGGGGACAGTAATGACAATAGCCTCCATGTATTGGAATGGCATCTCAAAACTCAAATGCCTACAGAAACCAAGCAGGCAGCAGATGAGGCCCCAAGGAGTATGGGAACTGAGGCCACATGTTTCATGGGGTTCTCTGCAAAGAGTGCATCTTCTTGCTCCTCTAGAGTCAGTTTTTGTCATGGGGAAGTGTCCTAATATGCTGAGAAATGCCAGACAACAAAGCCAGATATCCTGAATCTCAGTATATAGCCTTGGAACTTGCTGTGTGGTAACCAGAGACCCCCTTGCCTCTGTCTCCTGGGTACCATGTAAACGTGTGAGCCCCACACCAAGCTGAATATTATATTTTATTATTACTACCACTGCTGATTATTAATATTATTGTTATTTTTAGATTATTTATTTATTATGTTCTGCCTATAGGCCAGAAGAGGGCACCAGATCTCATTACAGATGGTTGTGAGCCACCATGTGGTTGCTGGGAATTGAACTCAGGACCTCTGGAAGAGCAGGCAGTGCTCTTAACCACTGATCCATCTCTCTCCCTATTATTATTATTATTAGTAGTAGTAGTAGTATTATCATTATTATTGTTTTGAAGCAGGGTCTGTGTAGCCTCAGCTATCCTGGAACTCAACTATACAGACCAGGCTGGCCTCAAACTCACAAAGATCTGCCTGCCTCTGCCTCCCTGGTGCTGAGATTAAAGGTGTGCACCACCATGTCTAGCTATCCAGAGTATTATTACACCACTTAAAGGCAAAGTGGTGTGATACCTCTGGGCTGTGGTTTAGGTTGTTCTGGCACATTGGGTCCTCTCACTAAGCAAGCCATTCTGATTGACTAGGAGGGCAGCCTAGTACTTGGTCCAGAGGGATAATGGGCAGGGTGGTGTTGCTATGGCAACCACTTCACCTCCACCTGTCCTCTTTCTCCAGGTACCTGGTCACCGAGGGCCAGATCTTCATTCTCTTCATCTTCACCTTCTTTGCCATGCTGGCTCTCGTCTTGCACCAGAAGCGTAGGCGCCTCTTCCTGGACAGCAACGGCCTCTTCCTCTTCTATTCCTTCGCCCTCACCCTCTCACTGGTGGCTCTGTGGGTTGCTTGGCTGTGGAATGACCCTGTACTCAGAAAGAAGTACCCTGGCGTCATCTACGTCCCCGAGCCCTGGGCCTTCTACACGCTGCATGTCAGCAGTCAGCACTGAGGCTCCCTGGGAGCGACAGGCCATGGATATTTGTGTGCATGGGTGCAGATGTGCATCGGGAATGTGCACTGTGCACATGTCCAGAGACTGGCAGGTACACTGCTGACAGACACGGCTGTTTTGGTCAGGGTTGTTTTTTATTTGTTGCTTTGGACTTAAGATGGAATTTAGTTTGGAGAAATATATGAAGGCCAAGATCCTGGCCCCTGCCCTCCCTCCCCTGTATCTCTCTACTTTTAGAGATACCACTCCTATCTCTCAGGACTGGGCTGGCCTTACAGAAATGTCTTCTGGTGGCCATGCAGGTGAGGGCTGGGCAGGGCAGAAGCAGGAGGCCCTGCCACCCACTCAGAAGCTGGCTCACCCTGAAGCTGCCTGCCCCCAGCCCTAAAGGACACAACTTCTGTCCTTTGAACAAAGCAATTCTATCTCTGGTCTTCATTTGTTCTGGAGGCCTCCATGGTCCCCAAGTGGCTCTGTGGACTGGGGGTTCTGATTCCCCTGAGACAGCTCAGCAAGGAAGAGTGGTTCTGTCTGTTACTGCGTGCCCACCCTCAGCCTAGGGGGGATGCTCTTCCCCCTCTTGTGCAGCCTTGAACCCCACTCACATGCTGCTGAGAACCCGGTCTCCAGGGAGCTCAAGGTCACTATCAGCTGAACTCTGGAAACCAGCCTGGGTTTGGAACTACATGGAAGGCAGAGTTCCCACGTCCTTGTGTTATAGATTTCCTGAGACCCATTGTCAGGGTCTGGGACATTACAAATCTGTCTCTCAAGACATCGCATCTCAACCTGAATCTCTCACCACCTGCCGGGTGCCTATGTTCCCAGTGTGGTGGCTCCTGCTTCCCCCAGCCTGCCTCCTCCCAGGCCTCAGACACAGGACTCCGGGGCACAGCACTGGCCTGTGCCATGAGTCTTGGGGACACTCCTACTATGCATTCTCTTCTGTTGCTCTCAGGGAACACTGGGCCTGATTCTTCTCTTTTGTTGTGGTCTTTCTACAGGCTAGACCATGCTGGGTGGTGAGAGGTCTGAATAAAAGCGGCATGGAGGCCGGCCTGGCTGGTGGCTGTTTCTACCTTTGGGAGTGTGGCGGGGAGGCAGGAGGGAGTTCTGGACTGAGGGAAAGACTGGTCTGGGGCAACCTAGGAGCAGGGTACAAGGCTTTTGCTTGAAGCAGACCTTGAGGACCCTCACCCTGCTCCCCGCCCCATCTGCCTACCACCTACAGCAGTGGTTCTCAACCTGTGGGTTGCAACCATCAGAAAATTCATATTTCTCATGGTCTTAGGAACTGAGACATCACTCAGCAAAACAACAGTTATGAAGTAAAAACAAAAATAATTTTATGGTTGGGGGTCACCACAACATGAGGTACTGTATTAAAGGATCACAGTATTAGGAGGGCCACTGACTAAGGTAGGCTCTTGGGGCTGTGGACAAGAAGGGTTTCTTCCCAGTCCATAGAGTGTTCCTCAGGAGAGCCTAGGTCAGTCAGTCAGGGAAAGTAGAGCACCTCAGGCTGTTCTTAAGGATGTCCCACCAGTCATCCCCTGTGCTAGGAAGCACTGGGAAGCTACTTTGTAGGAGGTGGCCTTGAGCCTTGGGCAAGTTGACTATACTCTTGGAGCCTGACCACACCTCACCAGAGAAATGGGTAAGGTTGCCAGAAGTCAGGGCGGGGAATGTGGCTCCACCCGTGTGTCTGTCCCCTCAGCCACCCAGCACATTCCTTGCCTACCTCCAGATTGATGCCATTTCAAGACTATCATCAGAAGGTCTAAACAGCTACCTCATAAGCAGGCACAGGCCTGGTTTGTGGAGCCTGAAAACTGTACATTTTGGGGAGCCCTTAGTAAGAAAACAGTGGGAATGTGGCAGTGTGTAGGCCAGAGGAAAACCTCAGGTATCCTTTAGGAGTACTATCTACCTTGTTTTTGAGACAGGGTCTCTTTCATTGGCCTGGAACTTGCCAATAGGCGAGGCTCACTGGCCAGTGGGCTCCAGGGATCCAGCACTCTCCACCTCCCAGGTCTAGAGTACAAACATGTGCCACCATCCCTGGCCTTCTTATATGGGCTCTGGAGTTACAACTTGGGTTCTTGTGCTTAAAAAGCATGGCTTTACCGACTGAGTATACATTTAAAAATATTTACCAAAGTGAGTGTTTAGGAATAGCAAGTTCCTGGAGCCCGGGGCCACCATGTGCCTCTTGGAAAGCTGTGTGGATGGCAGCCTGGCTTCATCTACCTGAATTTCTACCAGAGTACACCATGTTGTGGGAGAAACTGGAGACGGGCCCTGCAGGGCACTGTGATGTGGGCTCCTTTGGGGACCACCACTCTAGGCCTTGGCTACCCAGGGTGGTCCCAGACTGTAGCTTCAGTTTCCTCTGAAAAGGTGGTATCTTGACACCTCCCACCCAGGCTGTACCTCACAGGATCCATGAGTTCCTTGCTGCCCAGGTACAAGTGTGCAGCCCATGTGACTGTGCGAGGCAGCCGGCACGGTGCTGTGAACATGATGGCTGAGAACAGCAGGTGTGCATCTGCTCAGTTCTGAGGGAGAGGTGTTGATAGGGCTGTGTTCTCACGCCTCTAGAGGACGATTCACTGCCTCTTCTGGCGTGTGGTAGGACCCAGGCTATCCCAGGTGTTCTGGGCTGTGGGCCCGTTCATCTTGGCCCTCCCTGTGTGGTGTCCAGACCCCCCTCCTCAAGTTAGAACCTACTCTATTCACTCTGGATGACCTAATCTCAGTTACATCCACAGCCGCCACTTCAGATGAAGTCCCTTAGGCTCCAGGTGGATGTGGACTCTGGGGACACTAGTTAGCCCCGGAGAGGCCGGAAACGAGGCACATGTGTGTGGAGGTGGGAGACCAAAGGCAGAGGACCACTTCTTGTCCTTCCACACTTTACCCAGCAGGCACACAAGGAGCCTGCCAAGACTCACGCTCCCGGGGTGGGGGTTGGGGCTAAGACTGCCCTATCAGCCCCCAACTATGAGTGACAGCGGCCCTTGGCTAGGATAGTTTGGCTGAGGAACGCAGCTCCATAAGTGGAATCTCTTTCAAGGGTAGGATTTAGGGAGACAGGGCTGGGTCAGGAACTTAGTCTCCTGTAGTACAGGCTGGCTTTGGACTCACTTAGTAGCCCAGGGTAGCACTGAACTTCTGATTCTCCTGCCTTTATCCTGTTTCTGTAGTTACAGGTATGCTTACTATGTCTGATTTATGCAGTGCTGTGGATTGAACCCAGGGCTTGCAGGCTAGGCAAGTGTTCTACCAACTGAACTTTATCCTGAGCCCTGACCCCTACATAACCTTTCTAAGACATTCCTGGAGGCTTTTCTGTGGTTCTGGTTGGCATCCTTGTAGACTAAGTAGCCTAAGTGGAGAGGAGGTACCACTTGCCTGAAGCCCCTTCCACAGGGAGGGGGCTTAGTCCAGAGAGGTGAAAAGAGAGAAGAACCCAACAAGAAGTTGGTGATGCTTAGGGGAGATGTCTGCCAGCCCCTAGCCAGGAGGGCCATGTTTCAAGAATAAAGTGAATAAACTCAGCCCCAAGGAGTACTGGAAGGGTCTCCTGTTTCTTTTAACATGAAGACTCACTCATGCAGAGTACTGTGTAACCTGATAGGCATGTGCCATGAGCCCACGTGCAGTCACAGCTTTGGAGCAGGTGCTCTGAACCAGCTCAAACAGCTGTGAGACTGGGTGAGGCTGCAAATACCTGACTTGTACTTGGGAGGCAGAGGGAGGAGGATTGACAGCTGCAAGTCATCCTCAGTTATACAGTGAGTTTGAGGGTAGCCTGGGCAACGGGATCTGTCTCCAAACAGCAAATGGATGCTGGAGAGATGACTCAATGAGCACTTGCTGTTTTTGCAGACCTGAATTTGGTTCCCAGCATCTACTAGGGTGGCTCACAACTGCCTGTAACTCCAGCTTCGGGGGACCTCTGACTTCCTTTCCTGGCCTCTGTGGGCTCCTGTACTCACATGTACGCAGACACGCAAACATACACATAATTAAAAGTATATTTTTAAAACTGCTTTTCTGGCCTGGTGGTGGTGGCACACACCTTTAATCCCAGGACTCAGAGACAGGTGGATCTCTGTGAGTTCGGAGTCCAGCCTGGTCTACAGAGTGAGTTCCAAGACAGGCTCCAAAAGCTACAGAGAAAGCCTGTCTTGAACACCCCCCCCCATAAAAAAGTGCTTTTCTGTCTGGTGGTAGCCATCAGGTGTGTCAAGGTGGGTACATACAGAGACTATAGGACAGTGATTCTCAGCCTGTGGATTGTGACCCCTTTAGGAATCCTATGACTCTTTCACAAGGGTCACATATTAAATATCCTGCATAATCAGATATTTACATTATGGTTCATAACACTAGCAAAATTACAGTTATGAAATAGCAATGAAAATAATTTGATGGTTGAGGTCACCACAACACGAGGAATTGTACTAAAGGATCACAGCATTAGGAAGGGTGAGAACCACTGCTCTGGAGAAAGACAAGGTCTGACACAATGCACTTTCTTCAGGGGTATGCTGCTAGCCTGTATCCCCAACTCTCATGTGCTATAAAGGGCTCCCCACCCCACCTGGCCAGGTAAGCCAACAGGCTGTTTAAGGAAGCTAAGTGAGATTACACCAGATGCAGAACTTCATGTTCATAAGGGAGGCTGCAAACCCCCAGCTCTGTTGAGACAAGCCTAACTAACCATCATGGTGTTAACCAGCTAAAGACTGCCCAGTCTTCCTTCAGTATTGTGGAGAGAGCTGGACTCCACCATGGGCGGAGCTTTGAGAGTCCTGGATTCTTACTGGGTGGAAAGAGTCACCTATAAATTCTTTGAGGCTCTCCTCAATGACCCAGCCCATAAGGTACCAGAACAAATCCTGACACCCAGCGGATCGCCAAACCAGGAAGTACATTAGCACCAGGAGATGTGTGGGCTGCCATCTGCTGGCCACAAGAGTTGTGGTCTCTGAAAGGGCTACAAAGTTCCGACATACTCTCTTTCACCACACAGTTGGAGAAAGCATAGAACTCTCCAGCTCTGTTACTGATGATGTAAGTAATATTTGTAAAATTTATGTCAATAAATGATTTAGGATGATGATGTAAGTAATATTTGTAAAATTTATGTCAATAAATGATTTAGGATAGTGTCACATCCTTGAAACAAACAAACAAAAAACGGTAGGGTGATTGGGGCCTGTGCCCACCTGTCAAAGTCCGGCCTACTTCCCTTACTTTCTCAAGGCCATTGAGGTGAACTCTCCAGCCTTCCCGCACTATACCAACCCCTTAGAGTACAGGCAGAACTTCAAGATTCTTGAGTTTGAGAGTGTGAAGAGGTGAATCAGGAGGAACATGGTCAGGACCAGAGGGGGGTTCCTGTACCCAGGTGCCCTCATATGAGTTGGCAGGAGACCCCTCTCTGTCAGGAGACCCCTCTCTGACAGGAGACCCCTCTCTGACAGGAGACTCCTCTCTGAAAGGAGACCCCTCTCTGACAGGAGACCCCTCTCTGGCAGGAGACCCCTCTCTGGCAGGAGACCCCTCTCTGGCAGGAGACTCCTCTCTGAAAGGAGACCCCTCTCTGACAGGAGACCCCTCTCTGGCAGGAGACCCCTCTCTGGCAGGAGACCCCTCTCTGGCAGGAGACTCCTCTCTGACAGGAGACCCCTCTCTGGCAGGAGACCCCTCTCTGACAGGAGACCCCTCTCTGACAGGAGACCCCTCTCTGGCAGGAGACCCCTCTCTGGCAGGAGACCCCTCTCTGAAAGGAGACCCCTCTCTGGCAGGAGACCCCTCTCTGGCAGGAGACCCCTCTCTGGCAGGAGACCCCTCTCTGGCAGGAGACCCCTCTCTGGCAGGAGACCCCTCTCTGGCACTTGCAGCCTTTGGCAGCCCCTGTTAGCTCCCTGTGTCATGCACAGACTGGGTGACCACACACAGTGACCAACAACTGGGCCAGCTTGGACTCAGCACCTTGCAGAGAAACCAGTCACCAGGTGTGGATGAGGGAAGGATAATTCTAAAT